TCCATATGTCAAACCATCATCACATACACCAGGTCTTCATCACAGAAGCCAGATCATCACATAAATTAGACCTCCATTACATAAGCCAATCTGTCACGCACAAGACACACAAGACTTCTCCATCACATAAATCAGACGTACAGTATTCGTGTATTTCTAGCGAAGATGAAGTCGTTACATAGCAATTACATAATATGAACCAATTATAACATGATTTAGACCTTCACATAGCTAGACCAGAATTGCATAAACCAGATCTACATCACTTAAACCAGATCTTCACTAGCCATATCTTCACATAAGCCACACCACATGAACAAGACCTCTATTGAATAAAGCAGACCTTCATCACTCAGGTGAAATAATTATACAAAGCTTAACCATCACATAAATCAGACCTTCACATAATTTGTCAATTATATCACATAAGAATGACCTTCAGATTTCCATCACATAAAGCAGACCTTCATCACATAAGCCAATATTCATCTTATAAACCAGACCATCACTTCAGTCACATAAAGCAGATGTTCATCACCCAAGTCAGATCTTTATGATATAAAACATATAAAACATAAGCCATACTATCATGTATGGAGGACTGCCATCACATGAACCAGGCCTACATCACCCAAGTCACACCATCACCAAAGTGAGATCTTACACCACCTAAGCCATGACCACATTTTGGAAAGCTCAAGATTACATAAACCAGACTTTCAAAATGAGTCATAAGCCAGACCCTATTCCTATAGGTCAGACTATAATGACATAAGCAAGACCTCTGCCACATAAACCAAATCTAGTCAACACCATCACAAAAACTGTTCTGAACAATTAGCATAAAGTAACACCACCCTTCTTTTCCCCAACAGAGCCATTACTCATTCTCCAAGGGGGCTTCGGTAATGGGTATAGGTATGGACAATGTGATTTCTGTGGCCACCGACTCCTGTGGCCGGATGATACCTCAGGCTCTCCGAGAGGAGGTAGCCAAAGCAAGAGCCAGAGGAGGAGAACCTTTCTTTGTCAATGCATCTGCTGGAACCACTGTCCTTGGCTCCTTTGATCCCTATGAGGATATTGCTGATATATGCCAAGAAGAGGGTCTATGGATGCATATTGATGTAACTATTTCTCATTAAAGTGTTTTTATGGTCACTGTGCAATTATGAAGTACACTTTTTTTCATAAATATACTCCTCATATTTTCTTTTCTGGATGACTAATCTCTTGTTTTTGTCTTTAAATTACTTTTTATTTCCAGGCCTGCTGGGGAGGAAGTGTCATTCTCTCAAAGACTCAACGTCACAATCTGAATGGCATACATAGGTGACAATTCTAATAGCTGGTTTATAGTCTAATAAACTGGGGAAATAAGTATCTTTTTCATCTCAAGACATTGACTTAACTTAGTAAATGTGAAGGAATAGGATTTATTCAACATGTTGGTTAAAAAAAACAACTAACTTTAGTACATAGGTTTGTAAGTTTCTGAAATGAACTTTGAATTGTTGTAAATGGTCAGTGTACACTGAAATAAGGTCATTAAATTTATGTACATTGATAATAATTTCTGCTAAATAACATTCATTAATGATAAAGCTTGCATTCAAATGTAAATCAAAATATCTGCTTATCCATCTGAACTCGTAAGATGCTGAGATCTAAGATTAATTTCAGGGCAGATTCTGTTTCATGGAATCCACACAAGATGATTGGTACAACACTGCAGTGCTCACCATTCTTTGTGAGACATAAAGTAAGTCATTAAAATCATTTTTTCTTCTTTTTTTTTTGCTAAAGTTTTGTTATAGTTTAGCTAAAGTATTTTGTTCTTGCATGTTACTAAAACCGAGAGAATACTTAGAATACTTATCTCCTCACAGGGCCTACTCCATGAATGCAACTCCGCAAGTGCCACATACCTATTCCAACAAGACAAGTTTTATGATGTGAGTTATGACACTGGAGACAAGAGTATTCAGTGTGGGCGGAAAGTTGATGCTTTTAAGCTTTACTTCCTGCTTAGCGCAAAAGGACTGGATTTAGTAGAGAAGAAGATTGATGCTGCTTTCAGTGCTTCTGAGTGAGTACTGTAGCATTATGTAGGTCTAAATTTTCCATTAGAACATGAAAGATCACTCCTTCAATTCATTCTTCTCTGTATATCTTGGTCAAATGGGATGTATATTCTTATGTGCATGGAAAAAAAAAAAAAAAAAAAAAAAAAAAAAACTCCACAGTTACTTACTAATAGAGATAATAATCGTGTGTTGTTCTCTGACTATTTTCAGTTACTTGAACGAACAGCTAGGAGTGCGTCCCGGGTTCAGACGTGTCATAGAGAAACCCCAGTGTACCAACACGTGTTTCTGGTACATTCCTCCAAGTCTCCGAGACCAGCCTGAGACCCCAGAGTGGTGGGAAAAGCTATCTAAGGTGCACATTATAACAACGTCTTAAATTCTCATCCATTCTTATATTTTGGTGATATTTCCATACATCAATATTTTGACATACTGAACATCCAACGAATCATTATTTTTTCACACAGGTTCCTCCAACAATTAAGGGTCGGATGGTCCAAGACGGTACCATGATGATTGGATACCAACCTCTCGCATCTAAGAACTTGGTCAACTTCTTCCGTCTAGTAAACACTTCTACGCCAATGACCACCAACGCTGATATGGATTTTGTACTAGATGAGATTGAAAGATTAGGGAAAGACCTGTAAAATGTCTGCTTAAAAGTTCGCAAGAATTGATAACACAAGCATGAGGAATAGATTACTTTGTTATTATTATAATTATTATTATTATTTTTTTTAGGTTTATTGTTTGAATTCATATTAAACATCTGAAAATTTTCTGACTGGAAAAAAAGGATGCTTAATGATTGCCTGAAAGTAAATACATGCACTTGTTAAAAATCTGTACAATGAAAATACTTTTATTAATATTTTGTGTTGGTAATATTGATATTAAAGTAATAAATAATAGACCCTTGTAAACTAATAAGAATAATTACTTTTTTTTTATTTAATCTCTAATACTTTTGGACAAATGTAAAATTTTCATGTGAGTGCTCTTGTGCCAAATGCTAGACCTTGTTTGAAATGAGAGATCTTCATATTGTTTTTAGACTTTCTAATATTCTTGATAATGTAGATAAGATATTCAAATCTTCATTTCTTACAATATCAATGAGCATATTTAATTAGTTTCAGTAATATAATAATATACATATTTTATTTTATAGGTATTCTTCCATAATACTCATTTGTGAATATGAAAGTTTATAATCGAAGGAAATACAGAATTTTAAAACATTATATGACACATCAGCAGCTTATGTACTTTAGGTTTCATGCAATCTCATATCAATTGAACATATCTATCTGTCTTTTAGGGGAAACTTAGGAAAATTTATAAGTTTATCAGAGATTGAGATTGTGAGAAACGGTGATAAAGATAGACAGAGAGAGCGACAAGTACATTTTGTACAGGAGGCATCAATGATAAAAAATAAAGTATGTAAAACAGAAGTGAAAATAGTTTTTATCCCACACTGTTAATGTTTGACTTTAATATTTTCAACCTCTTCCAAAATTTCATCTTCAAGACATGAAAATCAAATGGAAGTCATTTTCCTCACTACAGAAATACTTTGACCCAAAGAAGCACAACTAAAACTGCTTTAGATCATCTTATTAATACTAACATTTTTTTTTCTTTTTCAATAATTCAAGATCTAAAGGCAACTGCAGATTTCTGATAAAGTTTTACATAGTGAGGGCAGTGATAAAAAAATATCCAAGGGCTGAGCTAAATCCAACATCTGTGTTAAAAAAGGGAATAATACACCAATCCGTGCATAATTCTGGTTTATTAAAAAATATATTGTTCTAATTATTCTATTGCCACATTTGTTCTAGAAAATAAATGAGAAGTTCACCTTGGGCACAAAACAATGCTACAACTTCGTATTCTAAACAAAGCACCTTGACTTGCTGTCAACTCCAATGCAAAAAGAATCAGAATGAGACATTTACATATCTTTTTATATATATACATATAAATACTAAAATACAGGAATTATCACATGCTTGTTTAGCTTTGGGTAAACTGTAGGAATACCACAGTGTCACTGATCTATCATCTCACTACTCTGCTGGGATGGATACAGGTTTAGTAAAGACTACAATACCTGACTAGTAAACATCTTCAAAAGTACAGATATTTGTCACCTTTGTTCATTATCTGTTTTGTAAGCCAGTAATGTACAAGTAGCAAAACTAAACAATTTATTTAACTGTGTATCTATTTATGTGAGGTGAGACCGCTCACACCTTGTAATCAAATAACTATCTAATTATCTTTATTATCTATTTCACAAAGTTCCAACAGCAAAATTAAAAGAATATCTAAGCACCTTCATCTTTGTAACATTTTTGATTATAACAGTGTTTATGAGAGACACAAAATGAGGGGGATTTTTTTTTTTTTTTACTTGAGCAGTTTGCTAAAGAAATGAAACTGCTAATTATCTGCATGCAAAAAAGAGAGGAATCATATAAAATGGTTTATCTGTTTTACTTTTGTTTATACCCTTTGCTTTATAAAGTTCTTAATTCTAATAAATAAAAACACTGAAATAATTTCTCAGTACATCATTTCAACTATAGTACAAAGAACAAAGAGAAAGAGAAGGACTTTTGTTAAAAATCTAACATTTAAAACCATTTAAGCAAACTACTTGTTTCTTACATGATAATTTGCTTGTCATAGAAGTTTCAAAAGCTATTTAACAAAATAACTGATTATTTGTAAGCTGCAGAACAATTATTTTATAACTTTTAAAATGATTTGATAAAGCAATTATCTATCTTTACATAAACAGAGACACAGACAAAAACACCAAAACAAACAAACAAACAAACAATCAAAAACACACACACTCACAAACTCTCTCACACACACACACACACACACACA